CCCCGCCCCCCAGCCCCATATCCCTTTCTCTGAGGCCCCAGATGTATTAGTCTGGGCTGCCACAGTGAAACCCCCAGTCTGCGGGCATAACGACAGAAATATATTTTCTCACAATTCTGGAGTCTGGAATTCCAAGGTCAAGGTGCCAGCAGGGTTGATTTCTGATGAAAACCCTCTTCCTGGCTTGCAGATGTCTGCTTTCTTGCTGCGTCCTCACTTGGCTTTTCCTCTGTGCTCGTGCAGGGGTGGGGCTGGGGGAATATCTCGGCTGTCTCTTCCTCTTCTGATAAGGACGTCAGTGCTGTCAAATCAGGACCCCACTCTTATGACCCCATTTAACCCGAATTCCTTCTTTAAAGGCCCTTTTTCTCAATACAGTAACAGGGGGTTAGGGCTTCAACATATGAATATTGATGGGACCCGATTTAGTCCATACACCAAATGTTAGCACCTGTCGTCTCCTCTCAAGGATCTTGCGTCCTAAGGTAGGTAGGACCTCAGAAGGGACTTGGTGATTCAGAGCATGTGCTGTGTGCTTCCCCCAGGACCTCAGGGGACAGAGCTGTACTCTGATGAGGTGACGGGAGTGGAGGCTAAGAGGGGGGAGTTCAGTTTGGGAGGCTTCCGGGTCGGGCCATGATGAGAAGTCACAGGTGAATGCTCGCACTACCCGAAGCGATCTATAGATTCGCTGCAGTCCCTATCAAAGTTCCAATGGCACTTTTCACAGAAATAGAACAAACCATTATAAAATCTGTGTGCAATCACCAAAGACACAGAATAGCCCAAGCAATCCTGAGAAAGAGCAAAGCCGTGTGCATCCCGATTCCTGGTTGCAAAATATAGCACAAAGCTATAGTAATCAAAACAGTATGGCATCGGTGACACAGACACATAGGTCCATGGAACAGAATATAGAGCCCAGAAATAAACCCAGGCACATACGGTCAATTCATTTATGACAAAGGAGCCAAGAATATACCAATGGGACAAGGGCAGTCTCTTCAATAAATGGTGCTGGGAAAACCGGACAGCCACATGCAAAAGAATAAAACTGAACGCTGACCTTACACCAGAAACAAAAATTAACTCACAACGGAATAAAGACCTGAGATTAAAGGCATGAAGAAAACGGAGGTCGTAAGCTCCTTGACATCAGTCTTGGCGATGATTTTATGGATTTCACACCAAAAACAGAGGCAACAACAGGAAAAATAAAGAAATGGGACTGCATCAAACTAGAAAGCTTCTGCACAGCCGGAAACCACCAACACAATGAAAAGGTAACCTACTGAATGGGAGAAAACATTTGCAAATCCTATGTCTGGTAAGGGATTAGTATCTAAAATATATAAAGAACATATAAAACCCAAACAGTCTGACTAAAACATGGGCAGAGGATCTGGATAAACATTTTCCCAAAGAAGACACACAAAAAGGTGCTCGATGTCACTAACCATCAGGGAAATGCAAATCAAAACCAACAGAGAGACGTCACCTCACACCCGTCAGAATGGCTGCTAATCCTATAGACGAGAAATGACAAGTGTTGGCGAGGAGTGGAGAACCGGGAGCCCTCGTGCGCTGCTGGCGGGGGTGTGAGTTGGTGCAGCCACTATGGAAGGTTCTCAGATTAAAACTAGGACTACCCTATGATCCAGCAGTCCCGCTTCTGGCATTTATCCCAAGGAAAGAACACACTAACCTGAAAAGACACCCGGACCGCGACGTTCACTGCAGCATCACTTACAGTAGTCAAGGCCCGGAAGCAACCTAAATGTCCGTGGATGCGTGTGGCGTGCATACACAATGGAATATTATGCAGCCATAAAAAGAAGGAAATCTTACCATTTGTAACAACATGGGTGGACCTGGAGGGCATTAGGCTAAGTGAAATAAACCAGAGAAAGACAAACACTCTATGATCTCGCTTTGTGTGGGATCTAAACAGAACAAAACAAACCTCAGACCTACAGACAGAACAGGTTGGTGCCTGGCAGAGGTGGGGGTTGGGCAAAACGACCAAGGGGGTCAAAAGGTACAAACTCCCAGTTGTAAAATAAGTAAGTCGTGAGGCTCATGTACAGCATGGTGACTGTGGTTAATAACACTGTATCGTATATTAGAAAATTGCTACAAAAGTAGATCTTAAGAGTTCTCATCACCAGGTGCCTCCTTTAAGCCTCTGACTTTGGTTCAGGTCATGATCTCACAGTCTGTGAGTTCGAGCCCCGCTTCGGCTCTGTGCTGACAGCTCGGAGCCTGGAGCCTGCTTCGGATTCTGTGTCTCCTTCTCTCTCTGCCCCTTCTCTGCTTGCACTCTGGCTCTCTCTCTCTCAAAAATACATAAACATGAAGAAAAAGAAAAAAGAGTCGGACGCTTAGTTGGCTGAGCCACCCAGGCACCCCTGCCCTTAGTTGCTTTGTAAGTAAATCACCGAGTGTCTACCGAAAACTTATTCTGTGCTGGTGTGTGTGAGTTTCAGGGGCTACGGAGATAAGGAAGGCGGGTCGGGGGACACACGAGGGTGGGGGAGACACACAGGTAAACAAACCCGGGTGATTCAGGACACGGGAACTAACCAGGAAGCCAGGCATGGGAGGCGTGGGGGTGGGGTGGGGAGGCGTGGGCCATTCTGCCTGGTGCCAGGTTGCATGAGGCCAAGCGAGGCTTCAGGGAGGGGATGGTAGTTGAGAGAGCGGGTGTAGGGGTGAGCAGGTGATCCTCGGGATAGATGAGCAGGGATGGGTGGAGGAGGGTGGGGGAGCGAATGGGTGTTGATGAGGGGCTTCGAGCTGTAGGGTCCTCTGGGGAGGGGCACGAGTGAGCGTGAATGAGCATGAAGGGAGTGGGAGAGCCGCCAGCCGGGGAGCTCCATCTTGGCACTGGGGAGCCATGGGGGGAGTGGGAGGTCCGCTTCCAGCGCTCACATCGCCCCGTGACGGCTGTCCTGGGCCACTGTGTGCGCTCGCCCCGTCCGGCACGATCCTCGACCCTCGGGGCGAGCCTGGCTTTGCTCATCTTCACGCTCCTTCACCCACCGCAGGCGGCCCGTCAACGGCTGTCCGGCATCTGCTAGGTGCTCGGGTGGTTTGGCACCTGCCGCCATTCCTGCCTGTGAGGAATTCCTGGCCGCCTTCCCCGGGGGCAGTGGGACACATCGGGAAACACGAGAATGGCTCGGACTTTGAATCCCCCAGCTGTTGGCTGTGGGTCTTTGGGCAAGTTCCTTCACTTCCTCAGGCCTCAGTTTCCTTATCTGCAAGATGTCAGCCACGGTATGAAGCCCCCCAGAACGTTCTGTGTGTTAGAGTGCGTGCGGAGTGGAGGCGCGTAGGACATGCTCAGTGCACTTGAGGAATGGTCGTCAGAGGGAGTAGCAGCCGCCAAGGGCGCTGGCCACTCGCCCGTCTCCCAGCCCCACCCCTCCCTTGTTCTCTCCGCCCTGTGCGGTCAGGGCTTCAACTGCAAACTGCACTCCCGGGCTCCTTGTTGGCGGGCCTGTGCCAGGGCCACGGTGAGGTCTGCTGCCGGGGACAGGGGAGGACCCGCTCCTTCCTGTTTGCTTCTTTTTGAGGCTGCCCAGCACCGCCTCCCCCGAGAGCTGGATCCCACCTCTGAGCGTCCAGGCCCTGACAACCCCAGCCTCGCCCGCTCATTCTCACAGCCCGGAGGGGGAGCTGCTTCCTGCCTTATCAGTGTCGTTAGGCGTGTCCCCTCCCACAGCAGGAGGGTCCTCCGCCTGCCTTCAGGGATGCCTGTGGAAATCCACAGCGTGGTGTGTGTGTGTGTGTGTGTGTGTGTGTGTGTGTGTG